GAGTCGAATTTTATTAACCTCTACTAATGATGACATTACAAAAGATTATAAAAATGTTGCAACATGATAAACAAAAACTCTTATAGATTATTGAAGATTAAGAAATAATATAAACAATCAGTTAATATAGTGGGAAGAGACAATAAATTCCTTAAACAATGTCAAAGATCATGAATGGAGCAAACTGAGTTGGTCTCATGATAGGTTTCTGTAAAATCTAATATGGATTAGTCAATCAATAGACTAGAGATCAATAATTAATTAAAAAATTAAGAAACAATGATTTAGTTGATAGGAAAAGAATGTAAAAGTGCTAAAACTCTCTTACTTACATCCATACAGATCAAATATTATTATAGACGACGTACTCAAATATAATAACTCTAAGAATATTAATTATATCTTTATTATTGAAACCGTATGATTCATGTGTTATAAAATAATTATAAATAGATGTTAATTTGGAAAATAAATTTTTAAATGATTATATTTACATCGATATTATTCCCTCAAGAGAAATTATTGAAGGATTTTAATGTCCACTTTTTTATCCGATAGACACAAAATTCAAAATTTTATGTTATGATATTATATTTGTTGTTTAGAGCCTTGGGAGAGAGGACGAATGTACAAGTAGTCGTTGGTGATTGATTGCAAGGTACAGATGCTCCACTATTTGCCAATTGTCACTCCTATTATTCCCTCAAGATAAATTATTGAATGCTTTTACTGTTTAATTTTTTAATAATCAGATATACGATTTTATGTTAGGAGAATAAATTTATAAAATTTTAATAAATAAGAATTTATAAAATTTTAAAAGATAAAAAATATTTTTTGATTAAAAATATATAAAATTTAATTTCTTTTTAAGATGGAAGATTACATCGATCTATCTCTTATCCAAGTTTCTATCTAGAAAAAAGCCAGAATTATATCAAGTTGGTGTCCTTGAAAACCACCCATAGCCTTGAACTGCCTTTTGTTCCTCATGTATTCCAATTTCCAAGTCCCTGTTTTTTCACTTGAAACATCTGTCAGAACCAATTGCATGCAGCAGCAGGTGCCATAAAAATGGAGGAGCATATGCATAATATATATATATATATATATATATATATACAGTATTGCCAGATATGGCTGCTTGCTTGTCCCACCTGCAACAAAATGACAGAGGCCAAGCATTTCCAATTGATTCGCACCCTTAAACCTGTCAATTCAGGTCCGATTTTATAATAATAAGACACCTACTATAAATTCAATAACGATCCGGTTATGTTTCCGGAGGTGATTCCAACCTATTGTTTTGAGTCGCATGATACAATTTTAATTGATTTTTGTTGAAAATTTTGATGGTAAAATTTGATTAGTTATAACTCAGAGTTAGAACATAATTATTAACTTTTATAAATTTATTATACTTTCGAAATAAATTTTATGAAACTATCAGTTTTTCGTCAAACGAGATTCTTAAATAAGTTTTTTTCTTTTATAAGAGCATTAATTTTTTTTTTCATTTGAATACGGATCTTCACTTTCCGGATGACTGCAACATAGATAAAAGACCATTGACATATTCACTTTACATTCTAAAACGAAATATAAGATCTGATTATTAAATCTATCTAAGTTAATTTACGAAAATGATAGAGAGATTGAACCTTTCACTACCTACATCTAATCTTCATCTTTTTTCTTATGATCACTTTTCTCATTAAGATATATTGATCAACGGCTGTTGTCTCGTCGATCGTTATTCTCTATCCAAACTAGGAGGGATTAACAGTCAACAGTCGATAAGATAAATTTATTGTCATCAACAATACGCTTGACCAAGATTAACAAAGAGACTAAGGTGGTGTTTGTTTTTGAAGAGGTAAAATGTCTGCAGTCTGCGGACCACATCTGCAGGCATCTGCAGCAGAAGAGGTGGACCAAAAGTCTGCAGTCTGCAAGAAAAAGACTGTTTGTTTTTTAACGTCTGCAAACTGCTAAAATAAACTGAAATATAAATAAACTGATTTTTTAAACTTAAAAGAGTTTTGTAATACTGATATTTAAATAATTTTAGTTTTACAATACTAAAATTTAAATAATTTATACAACTACAATAATAATTTTTTTAAAAAAACAAACACTACCTTATTAATTCTATATAAGTCTCACATAATCACATGTATTATTAGTTTATAAGTTTATAGAATAAAATTTATAAATGATCATTAAATTATATGATTTTTTAAATATGTAATTTTGTAATACTTTTAATTTTTAAATATATATTCATAATTTTTTTATAATTATATGATATTTTTAGAAAATATTTTTAATTTATCAAATTATTTTATGATTATTTTTTATTTAATTGTGATTATATTTTAAAATTTTAAAAACATAATTTATAATTTTTTATATTTTAAAATCTTAATTATCAAACAATGAAATCATTTTTTATTAAGCAATGTGGTTTAAATACTTACATTTGTATAAAAAGTTTAAATATAATTTAAAAATAACAATCTAAAAAATATATTTAAACTTAAATCAAAATAATTAAAATAAATATAAAATTTTAATAATATATAAATAATTTATATGATATAAAATTAAATATCTATAATATATATTAAAAAATTAATATTAATTTATTTAAAAAATTAATATTAAAATTAATATCTATAATATAATATTAAAATATTAATATTTAATTTATTTAAAAAATTAATATTAAAATTAAAATCAAATAATATAAAATTAAATAAAACCTCTTTGAAGAGGTTAGAAGACGTCTGAAGACATAAGACCACGTCTGCGCCGCGCAGACCACGCGCAGACGTTAGAAGAGCTTCTGTCTTCTAAAAAACAAACGGTCTGCGAAGCCCAATGTCTGCGCGTGGTCTGCGCGACGCAGACATAAGAGCTTTGCAGACCTTACACAGTAAAAACAAACACCACCTAAACCTTCTACAATACAAACCTAATATTCTTATTCTTCTTCCAATGAACTCTTCTCTCTTATAAAGAATTATCGATAGACAGCTATTCACTCATAAACTGCCACTTTTTATCTAAAAAAATAATATATAAAAAAATCGTTACTGTTATTAACAAAATTCAACTGAGAAATAGTTCATACGAACAACAAAGGGCTGCCTTTTCAAATTATGTCACTTCATATAGATCGAGAGATGGATGAATAATTAAACCGAATCGACAAAAAACAAAACAAATGATATCCGTTCATTCAACTTCTACAGTTTTTTTTCTCTAAATGAAGTGACATAATTTGGATGTTATTTCGTCGACAAACTAGTTGATTAGCTATATATATATATATATATGGGTAAATTACGCGTTTAGTATTTAAATTATTTTTATACTTTGTTTTAGTATTCAATTATATTTAATTACACATAATATTTAGTTTATATTTCATTTCGGTACCTTTTGTTAAAAATTTAACGACGATGTTAATGTGTCATTATAAGATAATATAATGTCATCATTAAAAAAAAAATCACATCAACAGTTCTAATAATTTTTAACGACAAATTCCAAATTAAAACATAAATTAAATATTATACATGATTTTGAAAAAAAGTTAAATTTTAATGTCAAACATAATAAAAATAATAATTTATGTACTAAATATGTAGTTTTTATATATATATATATATATATATATATAAAAGATTAAAGCTAGATTAATTTTTATGAGGTAGCGACGTAAATTGTGTCATCAACCTAAAAGTAATTTGTTTAATAGCAGCAGTTCTTTTTCTAAATGAAGTGACATAATTTGGATGTTTTCATTGTTCATTCTAAAATATAAAATATCTATAAGTATTAACAAGAACAAATTCATACCAATATGCTATACCATTAGGCCCCGTTTGATTCACAGTCATATTCCATTTTTGCTGGTAATCTTTTTTTCCGGGTAAACATATCCATGTTTGGATGGAGTACATTCCCAAATGCAGGGAAAGAATGAATACCAACAGTGGTATTTTTTCCTACTTTACCGGGAATGTCATACCCAATCTCTCTCTCTCTCTTAGGTATTTGCTTATTCCCGGTCCGTTGTCTAAATTACACTTCTCCCCGCTTGGTTATGGCCGAAAGAAAATTGTAATGAGGAGAATGCCGAGCGTAGTTTGGAGGAAACACCCTATCCCTTCTCAGAACTTAAAAACGTGAATGGTAAAAGAAAAGAAAGAAGAAAATTTGGCTCCTTACTTGATATAAAGAAAAGTAAGCTGAAGGGCTTAAATTTGGAATCCTTCGAACTGTCCGGCCGATCCGAATCAGATTCTGAGATCAAGATTATATAGAAAGCTGCTAAGAGGGAGGCAGTAGAGACGCTGGAATTGGGTAAAAAACTTGGGATTCAGGTAATTGGAAATGAACTTGAGGTAATTAAGGATTTGACTCTACTATAATTTAATAGTAAGGTCGATTAGAGGGGGAGGAAGGGTTGTGCAGGCATTTTTTTTTGGGTAATTCTGGCTGTTTGTTTTGATTTTTGTTTGTTATTAAAGGTGTTTCAATGGGGTAAAGAGCTCAAAGATAGTTTGTCCCATGCTACACTGAATCAATTTGTAAACCTGATGTTCATTTTGGTGGAGTTGTATTTTGCTTTTAAGGTCATTGCCAATACACAGTACTTGAAACCAAATTGTTAAGGTTTGTACTAGTGTAAGCTTGATAAGACAGTTGGCCTCATTTCGATGGTTTTATTTTGATTGATCATCTTGCGAAGGAAGGTTCTTAGCTTTGAGTGTGAAAGTTTTCTGGTTTTTGATTTGCTACCAAGGTTATGAGTAACTTTGTGGGTAATTTTTCTGGGATTAATTGTGGTTTGGGAAGTTTTAAGGTTTGAACTTTGTTTTGGTTTTTACTCACCTGCACATAATTCTTGAGTAAGCAATCTTACATTGTGATTGGAGTATTCTCTGAACTGTTAAGAACTTGTAGTTACTGCTTTTACATTTCCATAGGTATGTGGAAAATGGTTCACTTGCAAACATTATCAAGCCAAATAAATTTTGGTCGTTTCCAGAATCTTTGGTGGTCGTTTATATTTCTCAGGTTTGTTTTTATTTCTACATTTATTGCTTCATTTTTTCGTAAAGTATCATTGAATATGCTGGTTGTTAATCAGGTTTTGGAAGGTTTGGTTTATCAACATGAACAAGGTGTTATCCATTGGGATATTAAAGGTGCTAATATTCTGACGACTAAAGAGGTAACCCAACAACTATTTCTATATCCTTAGTGAGTTTTATTTACTATTTCAGGGTCATTTTTTAGTGATTATATTGTGATAAATTTGAGCATGGTGACAAATATACCGTTTGGCCTCCTTAATATTAGGCTATCTAGACAAGGTGAATTTGAATTCATACGTTTCCTTTAACTTTGGCTACTTATGTGATGAAAAATATGCTAAGAAAAATGAAATTGAATTGCTTTACTTTCCTTGAGTGAAACATCTGCAGAATGTTGAATTTTGGGCCATATCTTATTGCCCCACCTCAGGGTCCTCGGTTGTGCAAATTCATTATGTTTTATCTTCACAATTGTGTTCAGATTGGTTTTGATAGTTATGTCGCTAGGTGTGGAGTGTGGACTCTCTTGGTTTCCCCTACAACTTACCCTTAACTTAATTTCTCTTTTCAGGATCTGGTGAAACTTGCAGATTTTGGTGTTGCAACGAAACTAAATGAGGTTGATGTTAACACACACTCAGTTGTTGGAACACCATATTGGATGGCCCCAGAGGAACTGATAATTGGAATGTGGCTATTAATTGTCTATCATATTACTTTTCTCCATGTTTTTGTGTTTACTATTTTAGGTATATATTGGATGCTTTTCTTACAGGTTAAATTATATTTCAGGTGATTGAAATGTCAGGGGTTTGTGCAGCTTCTGACATTTGGAGTGTTGGTTGTATTGTATTTTTCTAGGAGAATCATTTTTGGTTGAATGCAATTCTTTTGTTCTCTTTTCTGGTTAATGGTTGAGTGTTGGCTTTGATTGTGCATAAATTTATCACATCAAATACGGATATATATTTGGTTTGGATAACCAATGTGATGTCGAAAAAAAGTGATTTATAGATCCTCGTTGTTTACATCTTAGCTATGAATCTGATGGAATTGAAGGAATGCATCATAATTGTTCGGGTGCAGGATCAAAAAGGGTTGGTAGATTAGTTAACCAGGGTAGGGTTGTCGAGGACTGAGAAGTTTGGGGGATGAGATTAAGACTTCAAACTTCAACTGAACATGTGGTGCAGTGACAAAAATGACTTCCGTTGAAATAAAATACTGATTAACACGTCTAAGATGAAGCTCTCGACGTTCTGCTTTCATGTGTGTAAAGTGTGGTCGTCTTTATAAGTATTTTTAATGCATTGGAATCTTGTTGTTTTGAAGTCACGAGGTGTAAGGCTCTTTGTGGCTTCTCTCTGATGGATAAAAGGTTTTGAAGCTATTGAGATTATTGTTTGTTCTGTTGTTCAAGATGTTCTTTACTTGTAGTTTTCGCTACTGCAAATTAGTTTGCCAATACCATAGTGCGGTCTTGTTGTGATGTTGTTATGTTGGTTTTGGCTGATAATTAGCGTACACGTGGTGTTAAATTAGTTTGTGTTTGCTTGTTGCTGGTGGTGTGTCCTGTTTAGAGTTATTGTCTTTGTGTGTGTCCAAGAGGTTTAAGGGTTGCTAGTGATTTGGGTTTAAAATCCCAGATTGTAATTATATTGTAGTTAGTTTTATTCTATTGTGCTTGGATGTTATATACTTTAGGTAGTTAGTAGATTAGTGTGTTTTCTTATGCTTTGGTTCAAAGTATTCTTTTTCTCTAATTAGGTTTATAGATGTTTTTAATGAGGCTTTGAACTAGATTGGTCTTTATTAATAAAATTTGACTTTTATCGATAAAAAAAGTAACCAAAGTTACGTTCACGATAATTTCTATTAGATAGGTTTGTCCACTTTGATATTTTAACAAACTTGTTAAGACAATATGATAAATCTCGAAACACATTTATTTGTTATTTCGATTTTCTCACAATTTTTGAATTATCTCGGATTAAGAAGGTAGAAGAATGAGATAATAACATTTCTTAAGATTGTTGGAAAAATTCATTAATCCGAGAATTAATGAAAAATAATAATGATTGAAATATCATTATAAAATTAAAGAGAAAGAAAGAATTTACTTTGTCTTAAGAATTGTTACGCAAAATAACAATTTGAGACAAAATCGAACATGAGAAAAAAAATAGAAGAAATTAAAACTTCTTAAACACAAATAAAAAATAAATGGAAATAAAAACCTCCCAGTGAATGCTTCACGTATGAATCGAAGCTAGTTTCTACAATGTAAATATTTAGTTAAATGTTGATGTAAAATTTTAATATATTTTTACATAAATTATGTAAAATTTAATATTAATTAAAATTAAAATAATACATATATTTAAATACTCAAGTAATATATTATCAACAAATAGAATTTTTATATAAATAGTTTTTATTTAAATATTTAGAATTTCAGTTGTTAAAAAATATAGACCAAGGACAATTTGGTAAAATATATATTCCAATAATCTTTGATTCCTTCAACCAAACACTATAATCTTACATTCTTGCCAAACCAACCAAACATAGTAATGTAACATTCACAGTAATCCTATTATCTGGTAATCTTTTATTCACATTGGTAATCTTACATTCCGTGAACCAAACACATACTTAGAGTTTAGAAATTTTAATTACTATTATCATAATTTAAATTAAACAATTTTAATATGAAAATAATTAATTAAAGTTATAAAGGTAAGACATGTGATATGATTGAAGAAGAGTTTTTACATGTATAAAGATAGAATTCTCTTATATAGTAAAAAATTGAAAAAATATATCGATTTAAAATTATTAGATATTTTTTTTAAAATAATATTAGAATATTTGGTTAACAAAAGAAGTATTTCTTTTAATTTTTTTTAAATTGAGAATATTTGGATGAGATTTAATTGTTTTATTTGATGATTTGAAACTTGAAAAGTAATTTTTGGTATTGGAAGTCATGATGATTGACAAGAAATAGGGGTGAAGTGGCCAACAAATGGAAACAGATATATGCAGTAGCCACATCATATTGCACGGACATGGGCCCTGCTTCAGGTGAAAGCTTGATGTGAGGAATCTGTCCGGTTTTTATTATTATTATTATTATCTATTTTCTTCTTTTTAATTTCAAATTTATTGTGCAAAACTGGTGGAATTAAGGTTTCATTTGATTCACGTAAATTATCTTACTAAAAATATTTTCTTCATTTTTTATATTGGTTGACAGAAATGATTTGTTACGAAATAACGTTAAAATGACTATCTTTTCGGACCATTATAAACAATTATATGTAACTAAGTGATATATTATTTATTTGTATTATCAATATTCATCCACTTGTATAAAAATAGAATTTTGAAAAATATTTAAAGTAGGGTAAAATAAAAAATTAATAACGAAATTAATTATTTAAGTATTAATATTTATTAAATATGTATTAATGTGTAGCGGAATAAGTGATTCTTCTCTCACCAAATGAATGAATATTTAACTTTTTATAAAATAGGAGTTAACTCATCTCATATTCAATTGAGTTTTACGATAGATCAATAATTTTAACCAATATATCCCAGGATGCTGGCATATCTCGGAATAACTACCGTAAAATGAGGCATTAATATTGACATGACAAACAAAAATTAAATCGAAAAAAGAACTAGCAAACACTATGTAATGGTGAACATGCCTTATAAGTAAATTTGGTTTAATTATTGTAATCGTTGCACTGGATGATACCCCTAGATTAATAGTATATATCTGAAAATCGTCACCTGAAGTTTGGATTGGATAGTGGTGGTATTGATCTTCTCTTTAGAACAGAACTCGGAAAGCAAACATAAAGCAGAAAGCTTTGAAGTAGAGGATGAAACATGGAGAGAAAAATGATATTTGAATAGATTTAAAAGTTGAAAATACGCCCACATTTATAGACTGAATTCTCCAACATAGAACGGATATAAAGGCTAAAATCACCACTACAAAATCGTAGTTTAATATTCTGGCCAATTGTTTTGCACCAATGGTTGATTCTCAGCAGAGTCGTGTCAAATAACTGATTTTCATCGAGTTTACTATTCCTAAAAGACGATCTCGTGTCGAAAAAGACATAAACTACACACTAATCCGAAAAAAACAAGCTTCCAAATATCCATGGATCAAGGGCTGATGGGGGAAGACTCCCATAAGGCTAACAATGAGCCGAAATTACCAGGTATGTCAAAGGAATTATTCCAAAGATAAAACCAGTACTGCCAGAAATTCCACGAGACAGAACAATGCACTACAATAGGACTGGTCTATAGCGGAAATTAATTTGGTTAGATCCTCGCTTCGTTAATTCGACCCTTGTAGGAATTCTACCATGAACAACTTTCCACCCAAAGGCCTCAACCTTAGGCGAAGCCAATTTAGACCACATCATTTTCCAAATTTCGTTGATCTCAGCCTCAACATGGTTGTGCAACGCAATAATCCTCAAGTTTGTACCAGCTAGAAGAAGAGCCACACCAACGTAGACAATCAGAGCTCAAACAATTCTTCGAAACTCTTCTGAGCAAAGATTAAAAAAATTCCAGACAAGGACTTCCCAATAAAAAGAGGTCTTCGAAGTACAATGGTCCATTCCCATATTCTTCAAATCTTGGCTCCAAAATCGACCACCTTTTCCGTCTTTATGAAACAACAAGGCAAAATTTCTCGGGAATAAAATTTTAAGAGAGGCCAAAATATACAACATTTAAAGGAGAAAATGAGACTTGTTTCTCAAACTAATATATATAGTTTGAGAGAGCTTTATTGTTGAAGCATATATAGTTTATTAAGAGATATGTGGGTGTATAATTAAATTTTGTAAGTCGTGTTTACCATAAATGTTAAATAATTTGTGATGATTGCTTAAGAAAGATAATAATTCTGATAATATTGTGCGAGAAAACGCTTACGACTAGCATGTGTAATTAGGTTGAAGATTCAGTTCTTTTAAACCCAGTATGTTATAGTAGACTTATCTCTGAGTAAGACTTCGCAGAGATAAGATCATTAATCGATATAAATTGTATAAATAAAATTCTTTGTGTTTTTACTTTTTCCATTGATCCACTCAGTTGCAACTAACTTAAGCATTGTTTGGTACTACGCTAACAAAATTCATAAAATTTAGGATACGATAAGATTAGATTTTAGATCGGTTCGATTTGATTTGATTTTTAACAAATAGAGTTTTTAAACTAACGGAGTGCTTTAAAGATGAATTTTAAAGTTTACAAATCCTAAATCACTTTTTGTTTTCTCCTTCCTCGAACCAATTTTATGTAATGTCAGAAATTATTGTAAATTTTATGTACTTTTACGACATTTTAATTCTCTTTTAATGTTCAACAATCACAAATCCTAAATCTACATGTTATTATATTTTCATATATTCTATAATGTTAACCTATGTATTCTTATGTTTTATTATAAGTAAAAATAATTATAAATCTCTAAACCCTAATATATTCATAAAACATCTACAATAAAATATTAAAACCCTAAACCCTAAACCCTAAACCACTCCTTTAAAATTGAAATGGGAGTTGGTTTTAGGTTTCATAAAATGCTTCATATAGATAGCGTCTTTTGGAAATTTATCAAAATCAACAAAATATGCTTTTTTTAATTGAAATTATCTGTCATGTTTGCAATAAATACTTTCATAAAAAATACTCTACTTAAAAAGATGTGATTTTAGAAATTAATCATAAATAAGTGTTATTTTAATAACAATTTTTTTAGGTATATTTGGATAAAAATATCGCCTACAAGACCCAATATTTTTATTTTTAAAATT